CCTTTTAATATGGAAATGCAGGGTGCCATTTTACACACATGGGGATATGAGTGAGTGGCCATGCTACCAGGCACATGTGGGGGCAAGGACAAAAGGACAAGGGTGAGAACTGCCATATTGGGTGGACCCAATTTTTAATGATTTTCATTTGCATATTAAAGGTTGCCACTTCCGGTTTAAGAGCCAGGGCTTTTATGGTAGACAAGAAACTTACCTGGTATTGTGAAAAGCATGTTGAGGATCTCTTTTTCTTTTTATTTGCCTAAATTAAATGGGATAAATAACAATAATGTTTGTATGCTGAGAGGGATATGAAGATATAAGAGAGAAAGAAAGAAAAGAGCAATTTCTAGATTGATAAATTTGATTAAGAAATATGGAGTTGAATACACTGCAAGACTGCAAGGGCTGGCCTTATATAAGAACAAGGAAAGGGATCCATAGTAACAAAGAAAAAGACAGAATATGGGTCATAGCTAGAACTGGGTGATTAGATATGGCGGTGGGGGTATGTGGACATTTTGTTCTGACTTTCCGTTTTCTCTGTGAATTAAAACCATTAGCCTTAGGAAGCGGAGAGGGAGGCATTCAGGATTTCAGGATAAAGAAAGTTCAAAATAATTAATTACATACGTATAAAGGTAATTCAATTGGGGAAATGCTAATATAGTATTACTAAAAAGGAGAAGCTGGAAGAGGAGAGGGAGAAGGAGGGAAAGAGGAGAGGGGAGAAACAGAATAAATTGAGCACTTACTAGGTACCAGGCATTATTGTAAGATTCTTTGTACATGGGAATACACTTAAATCCCTCAACTCTATGACCATACTTTTCGATTATTATCCCCGTATTATAGATGAGAGAGCAAACTAACGTCAGTAACTCATTTAGGTAGAAGGCTTATTGGTCTGCATTAATGGTCATTAAGTTAAAGCAAAACCAATCAGCACAGTGTGTTTTCCTCCAAGAGCACTAGTACTGTATAGATGCTGAATTAGCACAGATGTGGACTGAACAAGGGCTGGAGTATTCCCAGTTGATTAATTATGTTGGGAGAAACAGAAAATTGTATCAATGGTGTCTGAAAGTGTGATTATTATGAGGTTTGCATCACCTAAGATGAGGAAAGAGAGAAGTGAAGATATAGAAGCAAGAGGAAAGAAGGAGTGGAGGTTTTATCAAGATTTATAGCAGGAGTAATGCTGGAGGGTGTGACAAAGTTGTCAAGGAGCAATTGATAGTGGTGTTGGAGAGAATGATAATCAAACACAAGAAAGGCTCCCAAAGAGTTTTATCTCCCCTTTATAGGAGGTGCAATCAAGGGAGAACTAAATGGTGGTGTACAGTATAAGATAAACTAATAGTTAAGCACAAACATTTGGTTATGGTTCTGATGAGCACCCTAAACTCTTACAGCTTTCCCGAGTAGTCAGTTTATGTTTCTATCAATTTGCTACTTGCTAACTTATGTTGCCATGAGCTTTTAAAATCTATGGATACCGAGCTCACTTGTTGTAATAAGCTCAGAACAGGAATACTTGTTAGGTAAAGATTTTTCTTTAAAGTCTTGGTCATCTAGCCCCAGAAATAGCATTTACTCAAGAGCAAGGCAAAGAATAAATGGAATCCAAATCTTTCTGACATTTTAAATATTCATAATTTTGTTATGAAAATCTTGACAAATCATAATATTCATCTCCACATTTTTAACTCTACACTGTATCCTACATACAATAATAATTCTGTGAAAGAAAAATCCTTTTTTTAATTTTTGTATTTATTATGTAAATATTATAAAAATAAGTAGGAATAACAATTAGATAAATATTACAAATTGTATTTACTATTATTTTCATATTTATTCTATTTTAGATTTATTAATCTTAATTTTACTCCTTTTTTCACATTGATGCAATTCTGATAATCTAATATGCATCTTAATAACAATGCCACAAATTAATGCCTACACAATTTGAGGAGTGGAAAATTGAGATAAGTCAGACACTGCCTAAAGGGTCTATTATTCTGCATTTTTTTTAACGAAGGGAATAAAATAAAACTAATTTTAGAAACTTGGATACAGGCATAAACACATATGATTCTACCATGTGGTGACAGCCATTTTGAATATTTTTGGTGTATGTCCATCTTTAGTAGGGAAGGAAACTTAAGAGATGAGACCTGAGTCCTCCAAGAGATATTTTTGCTGCTGTTATACCCTCTCACTATTTGTATTTTGTAGTAATTCAGGCTTCTGCTAAATCATCAAGAAAAATTACAGATGCTAAAGCATCGTTACTATTAACCAACAGTTTCACTTTAGACAAGAAATAGTTGTTTTGAATGAATGGAAACATTTTTAATCTGCAGTAAAACCAAAGAAGGAAAAGCAACTAAGATTAGAGTAAGCAGAAAAAGACATAAGGAAAAAAACACTGAAAAACACTTCCATATTTTAGACTTTTAATAGCACAGTGAATACACAGCTACCTCATGCCTGGCCCTACTAAGCCTACAAGGTCTGTCAGCCTCGCAGACTGAGAAAACTGGGTGAATTGAAACTAAAGTACAGGCTAAGTTTGAGGGCCATTCAGGGTTCAAAGACATGATAAAATATGAATGGGATTAATAGACTTGGAAAACCCACTTAAATGTCCAGTAAAGATTTATCTTTATGAATTTATCTTTTCTTCAACACTATGTCTCATCGACTTCATAAAGCCTTAACTGTGCCCTCAGTCTTTCAATCTATGAAATAAGGATCCTATAAAGCATTGGTCCCAAGGCTATTTGGCACCAGGGACCTGTTTTGTGGAAGAAAATTTTTCCACAGATGGGGTTGGTGGGAGGGGTGATGGTTTTATGATGAAACTGTTCCTCCTCAGATCATCAGGCATTTGATTCTCATAAGGAGTACCCAACCTAGATCCTCCACATACACAGCTCACAATAAGGTTCACGCTCCTATGATAAGCTAATGCTGCTGCTGATCTGACAGGAGGTGGAGCTCAGGTGGTAATGCCTGCTCCCTCATCGCTCACTTCTTGCTGTGAGGCCAGGTTCCTGTCAGGCCATGAACAGGTATCTGGGTTGGGAGCCCCTGCTACAAAGCATAAATGGTTGTATCATCTGAATTATGGAGTAAATCATCATTATGGACACAGTCACTATTTCCTTGTAAACAATTCACACTGCTATGACTCTTTCCCATAAATCAGTCAATCAGAAACTTAAAACGTTGAGAATATGATTCATATTTCAAACCAGCTCTCTCTTCAAATTTAGTTGATCCTTTCACACAGACATTTTCATATTTCACTATATTATGTAGTGCCTATTATAGTTATGTGTTAATAGAACAACTCTGTAAAATAGACTATCAGAAACAGTGATGAACCGTGGGATATCTTAAGAAACAAAGTAGCATTCCAAATAAAGTATCCCTCAAAATGGATAACTAAACTGTTAGATTCACTCATGCCAATCTTTCTCATTGTAGCTTTAATGTGCTCTTTGCTCGTTTCTGATATATGTCATATACCACTCACACTGATCTCCAGTCCATGACCAGGTTAGAAGCTACAACTGGGAGCCTATCATAATGCCCTATCTGTGCACATTTACAACTGGACCATAGATTTTTTATTGCTACACAGGTGAGCCATGTAAAATCTTTGCTCTGAAACAATGGCCAAACTTGCATAATATGAACTTGAATGAGTGTAGTGTTTCTTCTTCCAGTGATAGTCTCAGCTTATTTAACTTAGAAAAGCCTTTGGCCTATACTGAACAAAGAAGTACACTCAACCAAATTAAACAGAGTAACAAAGCGCTCACAGGAGAGGTTTTTCTTTATAAAATGTTTCATTAAAAGTCCAAAAATCCTTATTGCTTTTCCTCAAGTTGCACTTTTAAGCTAAAATTAGATTTTAGATTCTACAACTACATGAGCCTAAAGAAATATTTCCAAAACTTTGGATACATAGAAGAAGGTAGACTTAGCCCAATGTTCATTCAACCACAGTAATGGAGATGGAAACGTTTATTTAGCACCTATATATGACTAACAATTCACATAAATAATCTCACATAACCCCAAGAATAAATAATGCTCAACTTTGTTTTTAGAGGCAGGGTCTCACTTTATCAGTCACCCTGGCTATGGTGCTATGACATGATCACAGATCAATGCAGCCTCAATCTCCTGGGCTCAAGCAATCCTCCCACCTCAGACTCCTGAGTAGTTGGGACTACAGGCACATGTCATCACGCCTGGCTATTTTTTTTTTCTTTGTATGTTGCAGAAGCTTGCCTTGAACTCATGGGTTCAAGTGATCCTTCCACCTCAGTCACCCAAAGTGCTGGGGCTACAGGCATGAGCCACCATACCCAGCCCCATACACCATTTTTATTAAGTATTCTATTAGGTAACTTTCCCAAGAGCACACAGATTGGAAGTGATCGGATATACAGGCATACCTTGGAGATATTACAGATTCAATTCCAGACTACTCCAATAAAGTGAGTATCTCAATAAAGTGAATATTGCAATAAAGTGTGTCACATGAATTTTGCTTTCCCAGTACATTTCAAAAGTATGCTTACTCTATATTATAGTCTATAAGTGTGCAATAGCATTATGTGTAAACATTCAGTGCATATACCTTAGCTTACAAATACTTTATTGTTAAAAAAAAATTGCCAATGATCATCTGAGCCTTTGGCAAGTCACATCCTTAGTTCTGCTTGAGGGTTTTGCCTGGATGTTGATAACTGCTGATTGATCAGGATGGCAGATGTTGAAGGTCAGGCTGATTCTGGCAATTTCTGTGAGAACAATTAAATTTGCTGCATCAATGGACACTTCCTTTCATGAAAGATTTTTCTGTAGTATGTGATGTTGTATGATATGACTTTACCCACAGAAAAACTTACTACAGAGATGTTACAGAGGTGGCTTTCCTGAAGCCTCATGAAGCCACCTCTAGGTTGCAACTTCTCTTCTGCAGCTTCCTCATCTCTCTCAGCCTTCACAGAATTGAGGATAGTTAGGGCCTTGCCCTAGGTTAGTCTTTGGCTTAAAAGAATGTTGTGGCTGGTTTGATCTTCTATTCAAATCAATAAACCTTTCTCCATATCAGTAATAAGGCTATTTCTTTCTTATGATTTATGTGTTCACTAATGTAGCACTTTTACTTTCCTTCAATAACTTTTCTTTGCATTCACAACTTGGCTAACTGGTACAAGAGGGCTAGTTTTTGGTTTATCTCAGCTTTTGACATACCTTTCCCACTAAGAGTAATCATTTCTAGCTTTTGATTTAAAGTGAGAGAAGTGCAACTGTTACTTTCACTTCAACAATTAGAGGCCAATGTATAGTCATTAGTCAGCGCAATTTCAATATTGTGTTTCAGGGAATGGGGAGGCCCAAGTAGAAAAAGAGAGATGGAGGAATGGCCTGTTAGTAGAACAATCAGCACACACACAATATTTATCAATTAAGTTTGCCATCTTATATAGGCATGATCTGTGGTGCCCCAAAACAATTACAAGAGTTATCATCAAAGATCAGTGATCACACAGATCACCATAACAGATATAACAATAATGAAAAAGTTTGAAATACTTCAAGAATTACCAGTGTTATCTGGAAACATAAAGTAAGCACATGCTGTTGGAAAAATGGCGCTGATAAGATTTTCTTGAAGCAGGGTTGCCACAAATCTTTGATTTGTAAAAAATGCAACACCTGCAAATCATAAGATGAGGTATGTCTGTACATGCTTATGGTGGCTGTATTTGGTATCAAGAGTAGATTCCCCTATATCCCTATTTTCTGTCTCTGTATACAAGGAAAACAAGGTTGTGTGTAGCTACCACTGTAATTCTTTCCCATACCTGTCTAGAAATCTATTTTGAGATGGAAAATGTCATGCATTGCCATGTCTAGTAAATATTTACACTGCCTGCACAAGTTGTGCCATTCAGGTGGGCTGTGTCTGTAAGACAGAAAACAAAATGTGCCAACAGTGGAAGGCTACATCATTGTAAGTTCCTTTCCTCTGTTAATATCAGAGTTGTGTGTGTGTGTATGTTCCTTTGTTTAATTTGCCCCCCACAGTGCAGTCTTTCAAACCATTTGTTATTTTTCTTTTCATGCCATGTGAATAAATGTGAGTAATTGTGTTAGTTAGAGGCTTTACTCCCTCGGATGGTAATTATCCAATCTATAGTTCCATTCCAAACTCAGCAAAATAGTATTAGAGAAGTTGATCTTCATTAGAAGGGATCTGTTGGCTTAACAGAATATACAAGATATGTAATCATAGGTCAAATTAAAATAATTTTACTCCCCAAAAGTACCTGTTATTTATTATGTTAGGAGGTTTTATTTGTGTTGCTGAAAAATGTCTGCAAGCTTCTCATATATTCATGAAAATCTTCTGTTTTCTATGAATTTATCAAGCCATTATTGCCTAGGACTTATATTACTTTTGCTGGCAAGAAAACATGCTTGAGAATTCTTCAGAGGAATTGTTAGCAGAAGAAACATTCCAGCTCTGGTGATCTGGAGTGAGAGGAGGGGCTAATGCACCAGGTTGGCTTTAGTTTTGCTTATTTATTCCTTTATATTGAATTCTATCAAGTATAAAAAATGTTGATATTTGGGATTTCTGAAAATTAAACCCAAGGAGTTCTGTCCATTTCCTCATAAATGAGCCAGGAAAAAGCGAGATTATAGTTTACAAACTCCTTTAGTTGATCACTAAATGGCAATGAAATTAAACACAGCTATTAGAGGACATAGAGTTATGTTATAAAATTCCTATTTATGCACAAACTATAACATTTTAAAGAAACATAGTAAGATCACTGATTCCAAGTTCCTCCTGCAAAAATATATTTGAAGACAAATATTATCTGTCAAGAACTATGAAGATTCTGAATCCACTTAATTTGCAGGACCATTAGTGCTTTGATGGAAACTAAACACACACACACACACACACACACACACACACACACACACACACAGCTCTAATGTTAAAAGAGTAAAGAAGTCGTGTCTCTTCTCTTGTATGGGGTACTGATATTTGACTTTTAAGTCCACTTGATTTGCTTCCTGAGTCATTATCAGTGGGGCAAGTATACAGACTAGGCAAGTAAGCCCACATGAAATGATTTAGCAAGTACATGCACCATAGAAGCACATGTCTAAGACCAAATGAGAATTTTCTTCAGTTTATAAATATCTTGTTATATACCTTACCATTTTCAAAAGCTGTCCACCTCCCTTTACATACAGCAAATTGCTATATTTTGACACTATTCACACATTTATTTCTTATATGAGTCATAGGCCAAGGAAATGTGACATTTTCCATAGTTCATCGGGATGAAGAGCAAGACCATTTAAGTGGAGCCAATTAGAAGGCACAAACAATCAACCTTTATTGGTCAAATCCAGTTATGTCCCCAGTGGAATTCTGTTACTTTTATATAAATAAACCAAATAATGAAAGGCAGAGGAAAATAAAAGAATGCTGTCATGAAAGATTCATTAGAAACCTACGTTCACTGTTGTAATCACAAGCAGGCAATAATTGCTAATTTCCCTAGGTATATCCCATCTATTTCAAAGATAATTCCTTGGCTACCCAGCACTAAAAAGCACTCATTAGATCTACATTCTACATAAAGTGATTGCTGTAGATTTTATTAAAAATTTAATAACAGATGCAAAGTTAATGCATTTATTACTTGCAAAATAGACTTAAGATGACAAAGGAATATATTATACACTATCATTTGATCTTTAAGGTAATTGAGAAACTGACCAAGAAAGGGAGCTGCTCAAATTCATACATTCATTTGAACAGGGGTTAGAAACTGCATTCCTGTATTTCTAATTCTTCATGGCGATATTGTGAAACACACATAATTTGAACCTCCAAATGCTTCCTTACTAAAGTGTATCATTTTGATCCAGTCACCTTTTCTTATGTAAAAGAGAAAACTCACTCATTTTTTTTTTCTCAGTCTTTGGCCTCTTACAATAGTAAAATTCTCTCCTATCATTTATTTAGCAAATATTGGTAAAATAGCTACTGGGTACTTAGTAATGAATTTGGTGTGGTGGGAAATATAAAAGAAGGAGAAGGTACCATGCTTATATTCAAATACGTTAAAATATAGTTTGGTAAACATCAGATTCACATGCAAGAAACATTTGGAAATAAAGGACATATGAAAAAAATATTATACACATTGTGCTTCAAGAACACAAAATGAGGGGTCGGGCATGGTGGCTCAAGCCTGTAATCCAAGCACTTTGGGAGGCCGAGGCAGGTGGATCACGAGGTCAAGAGATCAAGACAATCCTGGTCAACATGGTGAAACCCTGTCTCTACTAAAAATACAAAACATTAGCCGGGCATGGTGGCGCGTGCCTGTAATCCCAGCTACTCAGGAGGCTGAGGCAGGAGAATTGCCTGAACCCAGGAGGCGGAGGTTGCGGTGAGCCGAGATCGCGCCATTGCACTCCAGCCTGGGTAACAAGAGTGAAACTCCGTCTCAAAAAAACAAACAAACAAACAAAAAAACACAAAATGAGGCACTGTGATGCCTCTGCAGTCTTTTTATGAGGTTGTAACATCACAAGAAAATAGCCTGATATTACCTGATATTACTTATCTCTAATATCAATATTTATAATTGATTTAATGAAGCTCAAAAAGGGTATGTGGCCTCAAGGACATGCAATCCAATCTCTTCTACTCAAGAGGTTTTTTGCTAAATAAAAATATGAAGGCAGTGAGTCCTTCCATAAACAATTCAAGAAAGGGAACAATTGCAGAGAACATCAAACAATAAAGGAAAAACAAACCAAAAAAAATCCTATCTCATTTGAATTCAGAATGTTACACCTGAAAGGAAAATGAACTACTAAATAGTCTTACAAAACAAAATTTCAATTAAAAGCAGGAAGTACTGTTGAGCTAGTATGTTTCATTTAGCAACCACAAGGAAACATAATAAAACTATCTAGAGCAACACTTCTCCCTTTAATTAAGTGGGATGACCACTAAAGTTGCATAATTGCCTTTGGGACCACTAGCAATGTCACAACAGCAAAAGAACTTTCCAAGACTTTTGGAAACTATACAAGTCTGCCACAAAATCATACCAGAGGCAATGATTTGGGAATTCTGTACAAAATTGAGACTCATCAAACACCGAAAGAGAAGTTATTGTATCTTGCAAGAAAGCCAATTAATGGTTTCTTGACCAGCACTGTCTAACAAATAAAGGTAGTTCATCTATAACTTGTAGAATGAAATAACCCTTTCAGAGTGACCCTACACCATGAAAGAAATAACTGTCACAAATGAAAAAAAAATGGACAAAATGATGTATTGCACATCATCACTATTTACTTACTGTTACAAATATATTTACTTGGACTTCATATTTAATTCAACAGTACAAAATAGCAAGCCAAATACAGCAGTTTTCCTTCATCACTTGACAAATGCACATAGTATTATGTAAGATAATGCAGGCAATAGGACTTTAAACATATGAATTGTCATACTTAAAAGTGTGTATTTTAATATTATTATTACACTGAGCTGTCTCTATAATGCTACTCTTAGAATCCTAGAAGCAATTTAAATTGAAATTATTTTTATAGCAAAGTTTCTCTTGCATGTTACAAACTAAATTCCCTTAGGTGAGATCCTCCTATATAGAGTGAGAACATTTATTTATTTTTTTTTTATCAAGGGTATCTATGGACTTTTGACTCTCAATGTATTCTGATGTAGTAGTACTGCATGTGGCTTCCTGAAACAGTAATTTTCTCAGTATACTGAAATGCTGGTTTGTGATGAGATGGTAATAGGTTGGGCGACCACAATAACAGCAAATAAAGGTTCAATAAAATCTCATAAAAAAGAAAAATTCTTTACTACAGCTGTACTTAGATAAACTTCCTATGAAGAATATTATTGTGCTTTAACATCTTGCTGCAAACTTTTAAGAAAAAAGGTTAATCTTATATTCTAGGAGAAAAAAATACTATTTATGCAAAACTGATACTGGTTGGCATCAATTTTTCCCTAATGTTCCAACAAATATTTTAAAATGCTGTTT